AAATTAAGGATCACAGGAATAAGTTAATTGGGTTATTTAAATGTTGAAGAATATATAATTATGTGGGTTGAAAACCCTATGTATCTTACCAGGTTTCCCAACTTGATCCACTCAGTTTCTTTGTATGATAGGTAGCAATATAAAGGTACTGATAGATAATGTAATTATCTACTAAGAGATTCAAGAAGATGTAAATCATTAGTATATTGAGATTTTGTAAGTCTCCATTTATACTTATGTTTCTTGTACTAGTTATGACATCCCAGGTTTTTAAAATATAAAATCTTCTAAAATGCCTTGATTTTTATGCTATATCTTGTCAAGGATATTTTGGGACCAATTCTGCAATAAAAAAATGTTTTAAATAAGCATAAACAAAAAGTTTTAAAAAGGCCGAGAAATAGGGATGTCACATTGGACATTTAAGACATTTAAGTACTTGGAAACACATTATGAAGACATTTGGATTTCGTTCAAAAATTAATCGGAGCATGTTATATAGATTTGTGGTATGAATGTTCAAAATGGTTTTTTAACAAATATATATTAGGTCTTTAGGCTCTGTATGTCTATAATGCATTTTTTAAGAGTATTTTTTAGGTATTTGTTGGTTAAACTTCGTTTGTGGTATGAATCTTCAAAAGGTATTATATTTCATAGTTGTAAACTAGAATTCTAATTATTAAATCTCAGTGTTAAATTTTAGTTTAAAAAACCCGTTTATTTAAATTTCCTTTATTCAGCAGCCTGTAAAATTTAAAAAACAAACATTCTATTTCTTGCAGTGTAGAGGTGTTGATTATGATGACTTGTGCGGAATTAGAAAAGATCTAGTGAATCATCATGTAAACTCAAGAACACAAGGAGTAAATAAAACTTTTTAGCTCATATCAGATCTTGAAAGAGTATACAAATGGGTCTTGTACAAATTCTCTCTCTAGTCTAACACTCTAAATGGCTCTCATACCTAAATGAGTGTCACTCACTTCTTATTTATAGAAAAGACAACTCATCACACAATACAAGTGGGTAAAGCACAAATACATCCAAGCGTGACTTTGCACCCTGACATTCTCCCCCTTAAAGTTAGGATTGGAATCCCAACTTCAATATCCAGCGAGCTCGCACGATCAAGACTAAACTCCCCCTCAAATTAACACCAGTCTTCAAATCCGCAAATGAATACCCGGAAAACCTGCTTCGAATACCTATCATTCTCCCTTTTTTATAACCAAAAAATGATTATAAAACCTATTAAGGGTGAGAAGCGCCTGAGGAATGAACTTTTCAATACTCCACCTTGATGTGTGCCAAAAAATGAAACCTTGAAAATCTTGCATGGAAAAACAATTACGAAAAATTTTCCAATTTATGAAAATTTCGACTTTTGGGTGAGAGTTGCAAGATTTTCCAAAATCTGGGTAAAATCTATCATTAACAGAATTCTGCAGGGACCCGTTGTGCCAAAAACAATAAAAGATGCGAAACACTCCGCCATTTGCGAAACTTGGCATAAAGTGTAAGTTCGAACCAACTGCAGGGGCGAGAAATGAAAATTTTTCAAATTTTCAACTTTGTAACCCCATTTACGAAACTAGATAATTTCTGCCAAAATTTCGATACTTCAAGTACTAATTCTGAAAGATCTTCACAACTCTTAAAACTATCAAAAATTAGGTCCTAATATCCAATATGGTTACAAACTGTCAAACCATCGGAAGTTGCAGGGGCCAATTCGAAAATTATGCCTTTTTTCATCAAAACTATCGCAATTAGATCCTTTTTTCGAATAGGGGTATAAACTATCAAATCTTCGAAAGTTTAAGGACTAACTTCGAAACTTGTTTGATTTCTTCCCCAATTCTCTTGTTCCGGTCGACGTTCGACTCCTATGCATTTCGCGATCAAAAATCTTTGCTATTAGCGATAAAAAAAATTATTCGCTATTAAGTATTCAAACAATAACCAAACTCATCTATCGATCATTGACCATTGAGCCTTCGAAATCAGACCCAAATCGATCATCACACCTCTTCGCTATTATGATTACAAGCCTTAGTTGTTCAGTCAATAATTATCAACTCCAAAATCGTCGACCTTCGCTTTTCATTCACTAACCCCAAATCAATATCATCGATACTGTATAAGCTTTCGGTTTCCAATTATCTATCATCGATACTATACGGGTAACTATCGATCCAAAATTGACAATCCTTCAACCCTTAGAAATCAAAATCATTCCAAGCCAATTCGATTCCAAATGTCAACTGAACACCCAATACCATTCGATTTCAGCCTTTCAACCTCGATTCTTAACTCCATTGATAACAGCCTTCATTCTCAATCGAATTCCCAAATCCAATCGATTATCCAAAATCGAATCGATTCAACATTCAAACACGTATTCACAAAGTGGACCTGAATACACATTCGACATCCAAATCCCAATCATCACCAATTGAACCTGAATATCAATATTAGATGAAATCGAATTCAACACCAAAAGCGATATCAACTATCCGCGAAGATTGAACTCGATGTCAACTCCAAAATTATCAGTCGACAACCCCAATCGATTTCACAGCTTCCCCATTCGATTATTGTCGACATTAACATTGATAACCAAATAACACCAAAGTCAACCCAAACCTTCGAAAACTAATTTCCCAATCGACATTCCAAAACTTATTTAGATTCCATCAGTACATGCATTGAGACCCTAAAATCGAATGCTTTTAATCCTCCATTCCGAGCACCAAAATCCACAATGAAATTGATTTCGAATCCTTCTCACACATCAAAATTTCTAGCCACCGAACAAACAACGCCTATGTCCATGAATCGAGTTCGATTTCAAATCCAAAACTATAAATGAGTCGACTTGATTGAGCAGTCAACGCTTCGATCTTGATTTTGACAATTAGATGTAGGGAAAATCTCAAAAAACCCTATGTATTATAGGTCAATGTTTAAAAAAACCATTATATATATATATATATATATATATATATATATATATATATATATATATATATATATATATATATATATATATATATATATATATATATTTTTTTTACAATTTAACCATTATTTAATCTAACCTTGATTGTTTTAATGTTTTGTGACTGGCCACTTTTAACCAACCGGTCATTTAATAAATGACGTGGGTTTTAATAGATCTGGACCTCAACGAAATGGACAATTCTTCTCTTCAAAACTTGCGTTCCTCTACTTCTTCTTTTGATTTCTTGTTGTGCAACTGAAATGGGTGATCAATCATATGGTTCTTCTTCTTCCTTCTCAACTTCTAGCTACAAAAATGTGCTCTGTAAATGTGGTGAACAACCAAAGATCTGGACTTCAACGACCAAGAAGAACCCAGGCCGACATTTCATTCGGTGCCCTAATTCTCTGGTATACGAAATTCTTTAAGATTGATGTCGTTTCTCTAATGTTTACTCAAATACTTCATTTTTTCTAGGATTCTTCAAAAGATTGTAAATTTTTTGTATGGGTGGATGAGGATTTGGGTCTTCACAGGTATAAGAGTAAAGTTAATGAGTTGAATAGGGAGAATATGGATTTATTCAAAGAAAATATGATCCTTTCCAAGAAGAATATGGAACTGGAGAAGGAGAACATATGTTTGCAGAAGAAATTGATGAAGCTAGAGGTGATTGAAAAAAAACAGATTGATATGTTCATGGTTAAGGTGCTGTTTGGTATTGTTCTTGTTAGCATTTTCATTTACTTTATAATTACGTAGTATGGAAAGTTAGGTTAATTTAATATCGCTAATTATGTAATAGGGCACGTTAGGTGTGTTAAAGTATTGCAAGCTTGTTTAAGCAATGTACCTTGAATCAATGTTTAACCAATGTATTTTGAAACCATGTAATTTAAATCCCCTGCATATTCTAACTATCTTTCTGGTGTGGTTATTTTGTTTATGTTTGTATGTAATTATCTTTTTTATGTAATTATCCTTGGAATTAATAAAAAAAATACATTTTTGCTAATGGGTAATGTTTAATTGCAAAATATAATGTGAAAAAACTATGTGTACAGACAATAGTGGGAGATTTCTTTTAAGTAATAACAAGTTGTCAATATTTAGTAAATTCATATCATAAACTTTTAACCAAATAGTGTAGCTAATGAGTACTTAATTTTTTAACAAACTTAGCTTCCATTTTTGCATTATTTAATCTTTTTCAAGGCGTTTAGAAGCAAAAAAAAAAAAAGAACATGTTATTTGGAGCAGGGGTAAAAACGGAAAACAGAAAAAATATTAGGAAAAGGAAATGGAAAACAGAAACAAGGAAACAGAAAAGGAAAACAAACACAAGAAAACATACTGGAAACGATTACACCTTTTTAGAATGTTTTTAACTCACATGTGCATAGTGAAATCCCCATTTTTACCCTCCATTTCAAGACTGTCACAGGAAAGAAAACAAAAACAAAAAACTACTATAATGCCCCTAATGTGGAAATGATTACAGGTTCACAGGAAAGGAAAAAACAAAAAACAGGAAAGGAAAAACAGAAAACATGAGATGACCATTTTGCCCTTGGTTTAGGTCTTTAGCTACTAGACATAAAATACAATCGTTATGGTAGATTACAACCTTTTCTAAACATAATAAAATGGAACAAAACAGCTTATCTTGCAGGAAAGAAAAAGATAAAACTGGAGATGACTGTTTTGCCCTTGGTTTGGGTCTTTAGCATAATATAACATGTTAAAAGAACAAAATGCAAAACAAATAATATGGAACAAAATGCAAAACAGTTAACATAACTTGTTAAAGGGACATAACTGAATTACATTTCAATAACAAAAGAATAGGAATACTAGATTCCAAGTATCAAAATTCATCACAAAATACTAGAGTTTTGTCCTATTTTGGCTCCTAAATCTAGTATTCCAAATTAACAAAAGACTTGATTTGTGTCCCATTTCGGCTTATAAATCTAGTATTCCACCTACATCCTCATCCAGATGGCTTTCTTGGATTGAACTTTTCACGGATAATAGGTACAATAATTGCTATCCCGCCAACCACATGAGATTGATCTTCCCAATTAGCTGCAAAAGTTATGAAAGTATTACATTTAATATAATTATAGAATACATACAAATGAAATGATTTCTTACCATTTTCAACATCAAATTGAGTTTCAGGCACTCCATCATCTTGAGTTATAGGAACTCCTTCATCAAATTGTGATTCAGGAAATTGCATCATATGTGAACTTTCCCCCCTTTCCATTTCAGCCCTAAATACGTCTTCCTCAAAATTATCAAACATGTTTATAACTTCATTTTCTGTTGGTGAATCAAAGATTTCATCTATAAGTGACCTTCCTCCTCTACCACCACTTCTACCTACAGATGATCCTCTTCCACCTCTTTCCCTAGTTGGTCTTCTTCCTCCTCTCCCACCACTTGTAGTTGGTCGTTTTGAAGGTGCTTCATCAGAATGTGGTTTTTTAGGCCTACCAGGAGGCTTCTTTTCCTTAGGAGGGGGCACAACTTTTTCATTCTTGCATGTCCTAGCATTGTGCCCTTCCTGTAAACAATTGTGACACTTCTTTATTTTTCCTTTACCCGAAACAGTTGAATACTTTGTCTTTTTTTTCAGTTTGGTCTCTTTTTCTTTTAACAGAAGGCCTTCCTAGCATCCTGCGTTCTTTTGGGGGCAATAGCTTATCATATGGAGTTTTAACCCATAAATTACTTCCATTTAAAGGAACAATGGAAGTGCTATAAGCCAAGTGATACTTTTCCTTCTTGAACCAATCACTTACATAGTCAAGGAGATTTTGGTGGGTATGGTTTATAGCCGCGCATGCATGTACACATGGAAGTCCAGACAAAAACCATAGCCCGCATGTGCATGTCCAACTTGCCAAGTCTACCATATATCCTTCATAACCATTTCTAACCTCCAATAGAGGCCCACTTGGGATAACCATCCAATTCCTATCGAATATAAAAAGTTAGTAAAATATTTTTACATTTTATTACGGAACAATCCAGTTTGTAAAGGGGAAACAATCCATACCTCATGTTTTTGTGCCATTTTTTCATCTTTATAAGTATCTTTGGAGCAACAACAGTTTTCCATGAATTTGTACTCCTTTTCATTGCATCAAACCTCTCCATCACATGAAGTCTAATCTCTTCTAACATGGTTATCAACGGTTTCCCCCTAGCACCAACGATTGCAGAGTTAAATGACTCAGATACTCCATTTTCTACAGCCTCGCATGCCCTATCTGTTGCAAAATAGGCCCTACACCATGTTTTAGGATTTCTTTTCATGAGATCATCATATGCATCATTGTTCAACTCTTTCATCTTTTCCATATTGTTTTTGAACTGTTGATCTGTTGTGGACATTGCAGCTTCCCAAAACAAGGTTTTATAAATCTCTCCACTGAAATGTTTGTAGAAATTGGCACAAATATGACAGGCACATTGCCGGTGCTCAGCATGTGGCATCACCTCCTTCACGGCTTCAAGAAGACCCTGTATTTATATACAATATAAGTAGGGGTTGTTTTGATATAATAGGGGCTCTTTTGCCATAAGTAGGAGCTGTTTTAACTCCATAGGGGCTGTATTAATATAGGGTTTGTTTTGTCATTTATAATATGTCAAAATTTGCTAAAAAGTGTCCAAAAATGTCCATAGGGGCTGTTATAACATAGGGGCTGTTTTTTCATTTATAATATGTTAAAATTTGCTAAAAAGTATCCAAAATGTCTATAGGGGCTGTTATAACATAAGGGCTGTTTTGTCATTTATAATATGTCAAAATTTGCTAAAAAGTGTCCAAAAATATCCATAGGGGCTGTTATAACATAGGGGCTGTTTTGTCATTTATAATATGTCAAAATTTGCTAAAAAGTGTCCAAAAATGTCCAGAGGGGCTGTTTTAACATAGGGGCTGTTTTTTCATTTATAATATGTCAAAATTTGCTAAAAAGTGTCCAAAAATGTCTATATGGGTTGTTATAACATAAGGGTTGTTTTGTCATTTATAATATGTCAAAATTTGCTAAAAAGTGTCCAAAAATGTCCAGAGGGGCTGTTTTAACATAGGAGTTGTTTTGTCATTTATAATATGTCAAAATTTGCTAAAAAGTGTCCAAAAATGTCTATAGGGGCTGTTATAACATAAGGGTTGTTTTGTCATTTATAATATGTCAAAATTTGCTAAAAAGTACAAAATTACCTTATGTTGATCTGATATTAAAGTAACCCCGTTTCCTTCAACTGTTTCAATATCCGATTGTAGTAACTCAATGAACCACTTCCAATTATCTTTATTTTCTACATTCACAACCGCCCATGCAATGGGGTAAATTTGGTTGTTTCCGTCTCGACCAATGGCAGCTATCAACTCCCCTTTAACTTTCCCTTTCAAGAAACATCCATCTAAATCAATCACCTTACGACAACCTTTCAACCATCCTTCTTTTAAAGCCTTCAAACAAATGTAGATTCTTTTGAAATATTTTGCATCCGGATTGACATCGACTCCAATTTCAACAGTTCTTCCTGGGTTTGATCTCAAAACTTCATTACCATAATCCCATATCCTAGCATAGTGATCAGTCAACTTGCCATCAATTAGTGTAAATGCTAATGCCCTTGCCCTTTCACACTGACCTCTGCTAAGCTTTAAAGAATAATTCTGTAAAAAATCAGCTTTCATTTCTTTGACTTTCGTTTTGGGGTTGCGAATTAGTTCATTAAGATAATGGTTAGCAATCCAACCCGGAGTTATCAATGAACCGAGGCTGTATTTTCGTGCACAAACATGTTTCTTTTCCAAAGATTTCACTTGCCAAGTTAGTTCATTCCCCATCCAAGATGCCCAACATCTAAATGGACACTTATTCTCGTCACTTTTTTTCCCGCATCGTACTAATATCCTAGAACGATCACACTTGGCAAACCTCAATTGGTATCCATTAGCCACCGCATAATTTGTTAGACAAAGCTTGAACTGTTCTGGGCTTTCGTATTTTTCCCCCAAGTGTGGTTCCATTTTATTCCAAGGTATCCTAGGGTTGTGTACAAGATATTGGTCCCCAAATATCTGACCTATATTATCTCCTTTCTCAGTTTCTTCATTTGAAAAGGTCCATTCAGCATCATCATATGATATGTCAGGCCATTCCACTTCTCCCTGTACCAAATCATTCAAAAAAGGATCCCATATTGTCTTGTCCATAGTAGAAGCAACATATTCTTCTCCATCAGACTCATCATCTGTTACATTCAAATCCTCCATATAAACTTCAACTTCCACATTTGAAGTTAAAGTCATAGCTGTTGGAAATCAGCCTCTTAAGACCCAGAAACACACGCCTGAACACCTATCAAAACAGCAATTTGTATTAACACCAATATATTACTTTCAAATGGGAAACTTCTTCTGTTATTTCTTCTCATCTAAAACCTACAATTACATCGAATATAAACTTAAAAGGTTAGAAAGATGTAGTGGTTTGTTCACAGGGATGTTCCAACAATAGCTATTGGTTAAGATTCCTTAAAGAATCAATGCAGACAAAAACAAAGTAAATAAAACATGCTATCTATGGAGTTAAAGTCACAGTGAACGAGAATTTTAAGTCACAGTGAGTCAATGCAGACAAAAAAAAGTATGATTCCTTACAGAATCAATGCAGACATTTGAAGTTAAAGTCAAAGTGAATGAGAATTTCAAGTCGATTACCTTTTTTTTTCTTGTGATTAACCACTAATTTTACGGATGATTCCACGAAGCTTTCCCTCGACAAGCCTTTTTTTTACAGAATGATCGATTGGAGGTGAAAAAAGGGGTTGATGTATTGGAGTCGTATGCCACGTACACTAAAAAGAACGGGAAACCTAGGTTTACCGACTAAAATAGATATATTACACGGTTTGGGAAATAATAGTGGTTAAATCGAACAAAGAAATAATATAATGGTTTTTTTAAGCATTGACCTATAATATATAGGGTTTTTCTGGTATTTTCCCTTAGATGTATAAGCAAAATAGCAGATGTGCAATAATATTGGGCATTGATTTGCTTAAGAACAATAACAATATAAGATATTGGGTTCGAAATCAATAACGAATGGATTAATGTTGGATTGGGCTTCGAAATAGGTAAATGAACAGTTCTCAAAAACTATTTTGAGTTTGAATGAACAGTAACATATCAAAATATTTTCCAAAAACAAAAAAATGATTTCAAAATTAAGAAAAAAAAATGTGAAAATATGATTTTGATTGTAATATCCGTAAAAATCATGCCAAATTTTAAATTTTTTCAATCATTTCAACACCAATGATTGTTACAAAACTTGTTTTCAAAATAGTATAATGTCAGAGTATCCTAGAATCAAATCATAAAATCATGAAATATGATGAGGTGTACGATTATTCCTTCACCTTCTTGCTATCATCAGAAGTATCTGAAACAATAATCGATAAATTTAAGCTCAAAGGCTTAGTGAGTTACCCCCCAAAATACCAACACCATAAAACATATTAATAACAATAAACAAACAGCATGCATAATGAGCCTTCAGCCTGACTAGACCACCTCGTAGGCCTTCAGCCTATCTGGACCGCTCTCCGAGCCTTCTCCACATCTAGACCGCCTCACAGGGCTTACAGCCTGTCCGGACAGCTCGTTGGGCCTTCGGCCTGACTGAATCCCTTTGCAGGGCCTTCAGTTCATCCGGACCGCCTTGGGTATGTTAGCCTTCAGCACAAAGCAGGACCGCCTCAACCCAACCCCCAATCAAACAAACATGTGCAAATCAAATATCATACGCTAGCATATATAACAATCAAACCAATCTAACAGATCACTAATCATAACAACATCCAATAACCAGGATACAGACCTAACCAGTAACGAACATAGCATCATCCTATATATCATGATACCGACCTAACCAGGTCACTAAGCATATCACCATCCTAATTACCAAGATGTAAATCAATAAGCATATCATGCAATAACCCGGATACAAATCCATAAAGGGCCACCATTAGTGCCTTCGACCCTGTTACTATAGTGAGAACAACTCACCTCTAAAGAAGCTCGGAAATGATAAAATTAGCCTCCTCCAAATACAGCTCCAACACTGGCACCTACACCCATCAATGATCCAATTCCATAAATTCCCAAAATAACCCCAGAAGTCAAACTAGTCAACCCTTGGTCAAAGGCAAAGTTAACAGTCAAGGTCAACATTGTAACACCGTAAATTTCAAAACAATTTTTCATTTAAACATAATGGTTTAATTTCTAAAAACACTTCTGAAAATCTCATTCATAATCAAATTACAAAACATAACTCCGTTTTCACTTGCATAATAAACCAGGATCCTCAAAATATGACTCTTTCACTGTTGTGTACAATCAAGCCGGTGCCGTTCCGTGATCCTGAAAGAAACCTGAAACACATAACACAAAACACTATAAGCACGAAGCTTAGTGAGTTCCCCAAAATACCACACATAACACATATTAGCCACTCAAGGCTATAACTCTGTGGGTCCGTGCACCCAAACTCTGTGAACCCTCAGGTTCTAACTCTGGGAACCTTCCGGTTCTAACTCTGTAAACATGCACAGCATAAATCACATAGAAATAATGCAGTACAACACATAACATACATAGCATACAAATACTCTGTCACATAACTCTGGTTACCTACTCAAGGTAAAGTATAGTGAGAAGACTCACCTGGCAAGCAGGAAGCAGATATCCTCACGCTTGCATCTCGAACTCGCCACCATCTATCACATAAGGCAAATGTTCTCATGAACATAACTCTCGAGACTAGACTCTATCCTCTCTTGGCATCCTCTCAAGGGTAAAAGAACATTTTACCCCCTTCTTGGCCCAAAGGCCACATTGTTGACCAACCCTAAAAGTCAACAAAAGTCAACGGTCAAACTTTGACCCAACTCGCCGAGTGCACTCCGGTGACTCGGCGAGTACACACATGTCCACTAACTCTTTGGGATCCTCTCTCGACACGTCGAGTGTTTTCCTAACTCAATGGGTTCCACCTGGCATGAGTCGCGGGTCCACCACGACTCAACTTGCCGAGTCTCAAGAACAACTCGGTGAGTTCCGGCTTGACTCAGCCCACCCGTCAACCCTCTCTGACTCTCCCTGACTCACTGAGTCAACCCCTTAGCTCGTCAAGACCACTCGCTGAGTGGTTATGGACAATCTTCATGCTACTCGCCGAGTCTGTTCTTCAGACTCGGCGAGTCTATGCCATGCATCAACTCAAACTCACTCTTAAGGTCAGATCCATTCCAATAACTCATAGATCCAGTCCTTCCAAGCTTATACATCACGTAAAGTTACTATCTTGGTGCTCATGCAAAGGTTCAAAGGCCTTATTTGAAGATATGGTCTCTAGAATGCTACTCTGGCCTCCATTAACACTCATAAAGCTTGAGGGAAAAGGGTCTCTGGACCTCTTTGGGTCTAGATCTAAAGCATCAATACGAGAAGAGGCCATTTACTCCATGGATCATTCCAAAAAGGCCACAAAGAAACCCTATCTTTAAGATTTACACCAAGGACTGAGAAAGGTACGAATGATTACCTCAAATGAAGTCTCTGAGCTCAGACATCACTGGATTAGCACCTTCTTTGGTCTCCTCTTGCCTTGGTCCTCTTCTATAAGCAAAACACCCACAAATAATCAAGGATCTTCCTCTTTTCTCTCACAAAACTCCCAAAGACTCTTTAGGGTTCTCTCTCTAGGGTTGGTGGCCGCAAATGACGGCCATAAGCCCCTTTAAATAAGTCTCATACCCTGGAAATTAGGGTTTCATTAAACAGCGTGGACTCGCCGAGTCCGGACGCGAACCCGCGATCATACTCGGCGAGTTTGGACTCCAACTCACCGAGTCTCCTCACAAATCACCAACATAATACAAAATAACAAATACCTGGGAACCCGGGCTGTTACAAACATTCCATCTTGACCCGACTCGTTGAGTGCAGTATACTGACTCGTCGAGTTCAACCAGAACTCGCAAAGTCATGAAACTCTAATCGACTCGCCGAGTTTCCAGGAAACTCATCGAGTTCAAATGTGTCCAAATATCCGGAAAACCCTCCATATGACTCGTCGAGTCGCCTAACCGACTCGCCAAGTCCATGAAGAACTCAGAAGGGGAAAACCTTCCCCAAGTCGTCAAGTTGGATTATCCGACTCGTTGAGTTCATGCAATCCATTCCATGTTCAGGTGATTCTAAGATACTCCAATGCTCCAAACAATAGATCTAGCCTCCTAGGGCAAGTTTACCACATAAAGTTGCAAACTTTACGTGTATACAAGGCCCTACTCATCAAAAACAAGGTAAATAAGGGGTTTAAGGGATGGAGAAAGGCCAAAGCTTGCCAACTTTGATGCCTTTAAGACAATAGAGACCTAGGGAAATCCAGATCTGAAGTTACAACTTCAGATCTTACCCCAACATCTGAAATGATCCCCAAACATGCTAAATTTGGCCTTAATCCCAATAAGGATAAGATCTAGCTAATGAAAAGCCTAGGTAACGACTTATTACCTCTAAATGTTGCTAAGATAAAGTAGGACTCAGATCCACAACCTTTTCTTGTTCCAAGCTCAAGTACTTCAAGCTCTTCTCATCACAATCCACCTTAAAAGCTTAATATCACACAAAAAGAAGAGTAAACAACGATTTAGGGTTTCTGGACTCAAAAAGGGAGTTGTAAGGGAGGCTAAAGTGACAAATTACCGTTTAAATAGGGTGAAAAACCCCAGAAATTAGGGTTTCATCTTCCGGCTTTAACTCGTCGAGTTGATCACTTAAGACATGCGGCCAAATCCGTTCCTACTCGACGAGTCAGGGCATCCAACTCGTCGAATACACCTTTCAAAATGGAAATATACGATTGTAAAGTTTATACCTGAGAGTCAGAGTGTTACAATTCTCCCCCAATTGAACTATACTTCGTCCTCGAAGTCTGTTGTGGTGAACAACTCCGGGTAACGCTCCCGCATCTCCGCCTCCGGCTCCCAACTCTACTCAGATCCCCTTCGGTGCTCCCATTGTACCTTTACCAAAGGTACCTCCTTGTTCCGTAGAACCTTCATTTTCCTCTTCAGAATGGCCACTGGGCTCTCTATATAATTCAGACGCTCGTCGACCTGTATGTCGTCCAAGGACACCACTGCCTCCTCATCTAATACGCACTTTCGTAATTGTGACACATGGAAAGTGTTGTGGATCTGACTAAGCTCTTCTGGTAGCTCTAGTCTATATGC